TCAGAATATCTTTGTTCCTTTGGCTGCAAAGGAATAAACAAGACCCCTCGAAACTTTATTGCTTACATTCTCAATGGCTTCCACCTTAACACTTAAAAAATCAAAGTTTAAGTTTAAGTATTTTAAAGTTAAGCACGACTAATTATTATCCATAAATTAAGAATGATTATACATTATTCTGTCAAGATATCTATTTTCGTCAGCTTTTATTAAAGTAAGTTTTAAAGTGTAATACTTTAACTTTAACATTTAAAGTTTAAAGTGCTAATTTGACTTTTAATTTTAAAGTAAAGTTAAAGTGCCACCTAGGAGTGTTACTTTAACTTTAAAAAAAAAACATTTAAAAAGTTTAAAATTAAAGTAGAACACTTTAAAAGTTTTACTTTAACTAAAGTGGATGAATTTTGATATATTAACAGGTTAGCGCATTGCCGTCCTCAATTTACTTATAATAATGGATAGTGAATAACTTTAAATCACTATAACTTCAACTTTGATTTTTAAAGACTTAAAGTAGATTAAATTAAGTAAGTTGTTAATAAAAATGTGAAGAAGTTTGTTGATCCTCTTATGGTCAGAATGCTAGAGATACTCTGATTATGACACAAAGCTTCTCGAAATATTTTTATCAACTTCTTTACTTTAGTCTACTTTAACTCTTTAAAAATCCAAGTTGAAGTTACACTGTTTTAAAATAATGCGCTATTCATTATGAGTAGACAGAGAATGATGATACACTATTCTGTTAAGATATCAAATTTTCGTCTGCTTTAATTAAAGTTAACGTTTTCAAGTGTGTTGCTTTAAGTCTAACATTTGAAATTTAAAGTACTACTTTAAACTTTAATGTTGTTCAAAGTGTTTTGAGAGTTAAAATGCCGCATCTAATAGAAACTGAAAAGAATGAACTAGAGGAAAACTGTACTTACATATTGTTCCAAGTTATTGATTTGATCTAACCCTTAGCGGTGACTAAACAAAACCTGCTAAAAAAACATAAACAAATATTATTCGATACCTCAATAGCAGGTGAAAAGATACGAAACCAAATAACTGTAGTTCAGTTTTTCAAAAGTCAATCATTTACTCTATCGCGAAGAAACAATTGTTAAACGGAGTATGACCTACACGTATAGAAGACATTTGATAATTAGAGGAAAAATGAAATCAGTACAAGAAAGATTTAACACATCGCGTTCTAAAAATTCCTAGATTCTGATGTCGGCATCCTACTAAAGAAAGAGCAAACAAAAGCATTCAATTATACAGAAACGATATGCTAAGAAACAACACAGAAATAAGTCCTTCTAAGTATTGAGAGGCAATTGTTTAAGATTACTCTATCCGAATAGTACAAATAAAAATAATTCTTATCAAATGTAGTTACTGACTAAACCTTTTAATTGTACTTGCCAGTCATAAAGATAAAACGAAAGACAAAGAGAGTATGAAAAGGATGCAGCACAAATATCGATCAATACATGACGATAGATCAAATGCTAAAATGAATGAAACTATTACTCTGAAAATATCAGACTTAAGTTACCATGCTGTTGAATGGGCATGTAACAATATCAATACAGTATTGGTGAGTACTGGTATTGGTGACCAATATCGATACTCATCATTACTAATACGAATACCAATGGTAACCGATATCAATATCTGCATTAATACTAATACCAACATCAATATCAATACTGCCAATACCGATGTTACCAACACCAAGTGATACTGGTATTGATAGTCTTGATATTGTTACATCCCTACTGTTGAAATAATAGCAAAAGTGATGAATTTCTAGTATATCTAAAAGTTAAAACTAAACAAAGTGCCAATTTTAGTGAGTCTATATCAAGTTAATACTGTAGTTTATGAAACACCGAGCAGAATAGAATGCCAACTAACGATTTTTAGAAATCTGATGGTTCTGCTGCAGTCATGGGTACCCGCTATTAGAAACACTGCCTAAAATTCCAAACAAATATAACTGAATTGTTCTTCTCTATTGAATAGTTTATTTATCTGCAGTTTTAAGTAATCAAGGAAAGTTTTGATAGCTCGTATCATCAATTCGTAACATTTAGAATCTCCGTAACAAAATATGAATTAAATAATTGTGTGAAATGTGTCGGAGAAGAAGAAGCTTGTGTTTATGATGATTATATTTTTATTACCCTTTTATCTAGTGGACCTTTAAAGAACGCTAATAGTTAATATTACATTGATAATTTCCTTACGGTGCTGAAGAGCAACCATCAATTCGATTTATGACGTAAACTGAAATATGATCCGCATTAAATCAAGAACAGGAACCAACTTTTAAGAAGACGAAATAATCAATTTCATAGCATACTGTGAAAATCCTTTCGAATTAAAAGTACGAGAATAAGTCTTTGTATGTAGAATAATAAATCCTTTTACATTGAACAGTAGAAGAGTCAATCCTTTACCGAAGATTAATAAATCTTCCAATCGAAAAGGTATAAGAATCAACCGTTCCGCGTAGATTAATATACCCTTCGACTTAAAAAGTATAAGAGTAAATGTCTATGCGTAGACTAATAAACCCTTTTAAGTTGAACAATAGAAGAGTCAACCCTTTACCGAAGATTAATAAACCTTCCAATCGAAAAGGTATAAGGGTCAACCGTTCCGCGTAGATTAATATACTCTTCGACTTAAAAAGTATAAGAGTAAATCTCTATGCGTAAAATAATAAACTCTTTTAAGTTGAACAGTAAAAGAATCAACCCTTTACCAAAGAGTAATAAACCTTCCAATCGAAAAGGTATAAGGATCAACCATTTCGCATAGATTAATATACTCTTCGACTTGAAAAGTATAAGAGTAAATCTCTATGCGTAGAATAATAAACCCTTTTAAGTTGAACAGTAGAAGCTTCAACCCTTTGACGAAGAATGATAAACCTTTCGATTGAAGAGGTATAAGTATCAAGTACAATAGGTTGAATAATAAACCCTTCGAAGAAAATGGAAAAAAAATCTATCCTTAGGCGTAGAACAATGAACTGTTTCTTAGAAAGGTAGCACAATCTACCCAGAAGGGCATAATAATAAACCCTTTTAAGGAAAAAGCATAATAATAAATCCGAAACCGTATAATAAAATACTCTCGTCCTGAAACCATAGAATGATCAATCATCATTCGTTGAAGCACATACGGTAACCTCGAAAACGTAGAATGAGATACCCTTTTGCATTGATGATAAACGCCTTGAACTTTGATAAACGTATCGTTTGATAAACGCTTTGACTAATAAACCCTAAAAGAGTTTATCTTGTTGTAATATACCCTTTAAAGGTTTATCAACAAAATTTTTAAGTACTAGGCTAGATCATTATTCGGATTTTTTTTTCAGTGTATGGATTTAAAGAAATCGTTTAAATTATTCATTATTGTAGGATTGATTGTGCAATGTTGTATCAATGAATATCTAATTTATTAATAGTTTAGAATTAATGCGCGAATTTAAGCATAAAATATTGATTAATAAAACTCAAATTTTATGAATAATATAATTCATATTTTTGTACGTACAAATAGCGCCAATATAATTACAAAAAAAATCGTATTCTTGTCTAATCTTATTGAGCGCTATTTATATTTATAAAAGCAAAAAAATAATAAAACAAAAACGACAAAAAAAATTAAATTTGTAAAATGCATTATCTTTACTTAGAGTGAGAATTCTCCGAATTAAGTTTTCTGCTAGCCTAAGATATACTGGTTATATTATCAATTTTGCGTATTACTTTTTTAATGTAGCTTTTTATGCTATTGCATCCGTACATGTATTCTATCAGTCTAGGGCTAAGTGAATCGCTTGACGATGAACGTTACTTGTGTGAGTTGTGTGTAGACCAAATTATCAAAACGATCGAATTTGGGCCAGAAGTATTGAAGATATTGAAGAAGATGAAAGATATCGTGAAATGGTAAAAAATCAAGCGTGCATTGGGATTTTTGTTATGTTTACTTGCAAAAAGTTACTTTGGGTTATCAAAGACAAAGGTGAATGTTGGACAGGTCAATACTTTCGTGACACAATTTTGACTGAAAATGTGATTCCCTTCTTAAAAAATGAAGAAAATGTTATTGATGTTGATGAGGTTCTATTTGTTCATGATAAAGTATCGTGCATGCGAGCAAATAAGACTCAACATCAACACTTTCTTTATGATAACGCCATTCAGTTTCGAAGTAACGATATCTGGCCTGGAAATTCACCCGATCTCAATGTGGTAGAACATATTGGAACAATTATCAAAGATGAAGTTGAAAAAATATATTATTAGAAACTGAACATAATCAGGATCTTGAAAATAGGCTCAAATTGCACATTTCGGACGTTTTGACAAATATGGAAACAGATCCCGAGTTATTCGAAACTCTTCTATGTTCATATCCATCTTGACTTCGAGCAGTAAAGAATGCTAGCGATCGTCATACTGATTATTGATTGTATTCATTAAAAGAAGAAAAAATAAATAATATTGTATCGAATTTAGCTCGAACTTTGTTTCCTGAAATTTTTTTCATATTTGACATACGTAAAATGTGGTATTTTTGACAAGTTTAATATACGAAAGTTTTCGTAACCCTTACTCTTTAGTACCAAAATACTCCATTTTTCACAGGCTTTCATTTGATACAAAATTCATTAGGTATTCTATTTGAAATAATGGCGGTACCTCATGGAATAATATTATTTCCAACCTAGTACTTTTGACAAGAATGATTGATATATTTTATTAAATATAATGTTGTTGCAATTGTCTCACATAATTGTTAATGATAGATAAGAAGTAGGTGTGATGCTAAATTATTTCCATTCCAGTTAAATAACATTTTGATAAAGTGACAATAGAAACAGTAGTATTTCTGAATGATAAAACATCTGTTCGTATTTTCTTCTTCATGTGAACTATTGTAGATATAAAGTCATATAACCGTTAACATTTATATTACCTTTTTCAATGATGTCTGTTCAAAATGAGACTGTTATAACGGATGATATTTCTTGTTCTTCTCGTCGTTCTACTTCATACTGGTCTCGCCATAAAATATCGTTAAATGTGATTCTTAAAACAATTGGATCTCTTTTTATTCCATTTCTTCTTGCTGTATTCACTGTTGTTATAACATTTTCTCAACGAGACGAGGCTCGTACTCAACGTCAACAAGATTTACTTCTATCAAGAGAACAACGTCTTGAAGATCAAGAATCAGCAAGACTTCAGCGCATGCAAGAATGGAATATATCTATTGAGCAACGTGAACTTGAACGTGAATCAGCAGCAAAGATGAGAGCTTTGAATAATGAACAACGTTTACATGAGTTGCAAATTCAGTCGGAAAACCGTCAAGATGCATTGTTTGCTAATTATCTCACTGAAATGGGTTCTTTTTTGTTACGCGAGACAAATGGCTATTCATTATCAAATGATCCAAAAATGGCCTACCTTGTTCAATCTAAAACTCTCCATGTCATTCGTCAAATTGATGTTGTTCGGAAACGGCAGCTCATCGCATTTTTGTATGTCTCCGGTCAACTATATGTCAATCGAGATCCAATCAATTTATTTGGTGCTGATTTGAACAATATTGATCTTCAAGGTCATCCGATCTTACTAAATATTTCATTAGCTGGTACGTATATTAACAATGCTTCATTTATTGGTCAAGATTTGAGCCATGCGGACTTGTCGCGTGCACAAATCAATGGAGGCAATTTTGATGGAGCCACTTGTCAACACATTAATTTTGATTATTCACATTTAAATCGATCGACTTTTGTTGGAGCTAATTGTGTTCAAGCAAGTTTTCGTCATGCATATTTATACGAAGCTAATTTTCGTGAAACCAAAATAATGGATACAAATTTTGATGATGCTTATCTTGTCAATGTTGATTTCTCTTATTCAAATTTGGCAAGCTCTTCATTTATTAGAACCAATTTAGCAGGAGCAGTCGTAAATAAAATACTAATTAAACATACAATGAAATTTATAAAAACTAATTTAGCTGGGATCAATTTTACTCGTGTTAAGTTTTCCAATGACATTGGATTCAACATTTTATTCGCTGATGTTAATCTTGTTAATTCATCCTTCAAAGGTGTTAAACTTGAAAATGTTAATTTTTATTATTGTAATATGACGAGCGTTGATTTCTCATCTTCCACTCTATCTAGAATCGCATTTAAAGGAAGTACACTGGTAAATGCTACATTTATGAACGCACGGATGAGTACTGTTTTCCTATCGTACACTAATTTAACGTATTCGAATTTTTATAATGTTCGTTGTGCGATACATGGTTGCATGTGGGAAAAGGCTCTTGTACTTCAGAAAACTATTATGCCAGATGGAACGATTAGTGATCGTATTACCGAATCATTTCTAGTCAATGGTCATGCGGATTGTAATAGATCTATTAATGTCGGATGGACGAAATTCTCTTCATCTGATGCAATTATTGTTAGTCAACTTAAAAATGACAGTAAATGTCGTTTCGTTCCAGTTAAGCGTCTCACTGATATAGTCTCATCATTTTTTTCATCTGATACTATGAGTCAAGAGATAAAACTTGAGATCTTCTATTTACAACTAATAAAAGAGAGTCGAGCTCTCGCACGCATTCGCATTCAATGCGGAAAGGATGTCATCATATCATTACAACAGTTTGATCATCCTTTTAAAAAGCATGACAGCACGCATGAAAGTCGACAAAACGCATCATTTTCAAAAGATAATTTCTACTCCGTTCAAATTCCTTTGAATAGAGTCATAACACGTTTGATTTTCACTATTAAATTTCCGCAGTATGATGGGTACAAAGATATTTGGTGTGAATTCGTCGAATTGGACATAACTTCATTGATTCATGCTCCACCGTAACATTAAAACTGATTGTTAATAAATTATATTATTCTTTAAAACAGTCATTTTTCAATGCAGAATATATTCGATTATTGTCTATTTTGAAGGGTGTGGATCTGATGTGTACCACACAGACACCCTCAAGGTGTTTTTATTTGCGTTTGTACAATGAATAATAATGAATTCAATTTCACTATCTATTCCCTTTTCTGAAAGAAAGGGTTGTATCGCAGATAATATGACGCCGAAAAATAAAGTTTGTTTGTCTGTTCAAGCCAATTAGAAAACAGTATGAGCTGTACTACTGTGGGGGCAATTGAATTCCCTTCTTGATATTTTTTGTTTTTATTTCTATAGTTTTTTTATTTATTAATCCACAATATATAGCGAGCAAATCCAGAACGTGCTGCATCTTTTGATAAGTTTAGGATCTGAGCATACCAAAAGAGGGTGTGGGTGTGGGTGTGGGTGTGGGTGTGGGG